AAGTTCTCCAGAACAATCACAGAGTATGCTCCAGTGAAACCAATGTTACAATAATTTCTGGGTTTCTTTCAGCACTCAGTTGATTATTGCTAATAGATGTTGCTAATAATTGTTGCTAATAGATGTTCTTTTTTTGTAGGCTCTGCCCTGCTTGTTATAACAACAACAGATGTTGACTCAACCGGTGCCTCATATTATGGTGAACAAACACTGCATTATATCAGTACTTCTGGAGAAAGCAGCATGGTGCAGTTGGGTAATTTATCAATGTTTATTTCACAGATTGAGAGTTTTTGATCAGTTTGACTCAAAAGTAAATGATAGGTTATGTTTAATGATAATTATTCATGAAAAAAGAGGCAATGTATCCCTCTCTGGAAAGCATCATGCCAGCCGTGAAGATAAAGCTTCTGCTGATTGTGTGTGTATTTGTATGCAGCAAGAATATTAGCTCTTAGACCCCAAGGGGTTACTATCATGACTATCACCTAATTTCTCCTTACAATATCACCCCTGAATCATAAATTAAGGTCATGAGAAGAAAAGAAATGATCACTAATCAAAGGAACTCTTGATTGTTAAACAAATTCTCCTTGTCAGTGCCATAGGAAATATATGGAGAACAGTATGGAGAATATGCTTTCTGATGTGAACGTGTAAAGGGTTAAGAAAAAATGCAGTTCTGAGGAATGACATCAATAGAGTATCCTAAAAAACTGTTGCCACTTAGCATTTGACCAAAAGACCCGTTGGGCTAATTGTAGGTGGTAATCAGTAAAGGTCTGATATATTTTTACAATTTCTATCAAAAGGTGCCTCAGTACCTTTACTATTCAGGAACTAACCCTAATATGCGTATTCAATTATTTTACTTGACTAGCAAAACGAGGACCAATTTACTCAGTTCAATGGAGTCCAAACTCAAAGGAATTTTGTGTGGTGTATGGCTGTATCCTTTTTAGTAGAACATCTTTACTACTGACAGAGTTAGTTTTTCAGACTTGAGTGCTATGGCAAACTTGAACAAACTAGCTACTGAACTTCCAACTGCCATAAAAAAAAAATCCTGGCCCACAAAGGCTTTGCAAGAGAGAACTAAATGATATTGACATACCGAGCACGCAGGTGGGTTGGTTGGAGGTCAGGCAACTGCAAACAGCAACAGTAAAACCAGTAAATCATGTGACTATACCCTGAACACTAGCACCCATACTCCCAGATATATGTAAGAAAAACATTTTCTGCTTCTTTCATTCCTCAGTTAGCAAAAAATAAAATTTTTCACTTCTTTAATTTTGGGATTTGTTGAATCAGATGACAAATTATTTTGATATATGACTTCAGTGCTTGTTTTGTTATCATTGTTGTTGTTGTAAGTTGTTTTTTTCACTCTATCTTCCTTGACTTGATGTTATTTAATTTTTACTTCTGATTCAGTCATGCCAGCCAAGGCTACATTGTATAATGTGAAATGTGAATCATTATTTGACTTTGGGACTGGACCACGCAATGACATCTTTTACAATCCTCATGGAAATAATATCCTTGAAAAAGACAATCATGTGCTTCTCCAGAAAATCAGAAAAATTTATAATTTAGAATCAATATTTCTATTTTACAACATTTAATATACGGTAACTACTTTATAACATAATGAACATAGTACATGTACGCGTTGTTTGATTGGTCAATTCTGTTTTTAAGCAGATGCTTTATCAGGTTATAAAGCCCATATGTAACTAGTTACTGGTAAGTCATAAAAGCAATAGAATGCATTTTTTCTGTGCTCTATAATGGGATAAAGCCACTTGGAATGTTGGGAGAACATTCAGAAAGCTTATAAAAATTGCTTTCCTTCAGCTTACGATTTATAAGTTGTCCTCATNGTTCGAAGGATGGATAACGCTATACACTGGATAAATCTCTATCCGGTGGATAGGGCAGTATATTTTGGTAACACTTATCCGCTGGATAGTGATTTATCCATTGGATGGCATTATCCACCCTTTGAACAACTGGAGCATGGTCTTTTTTAGTTTATAGTAACTACCGAACTGGTGGTAAAACCAGAGTCTAAGTTTTTGGAAACCAATTTTTAAATTTTATTCAGAATTGCACATGAGTTATAAAATAATAAGAAATTAGGCAACAAGGTATTTATTGGATAATGAGAGAAATTTTCTTTACTTTTTCTTTACCAGGAAATGTGGAGTAGAAAAGATTTAAAGCTAATAAGCAAACCTCAGGTAATTCTGATTTAGCTAGTAAATAAATATCATGTAATGTTTCATTGATTTTTTTTCATAAAATTTTAATCTTGATTGACAAGCTGCTCATCCATGTTTGCTTAGTGCCATTACTACTCCTGGTGATAAATGTGTAACCCATAGTTACCTTCTCAGCAATCTTAATTTTACAGGCAAGTGACTCTACATACTTTGAATGGTGTCCAGATGGTGAACATATTTTGACTGCAACAACATCTCCAAGGCTCAGAGAAGGAAATGGGTAAGGTTGAATTTGAGGGTTAAATGTTCCACAACAGAATCTCAGTGATTCTGTTGAGCTCAAACAATTTATTTCATGTGCCCTCTAGTAGACATTTTTGTGTTGTTGTGACTTAAAATTGCCTAAATTGTACTTCTTCACATGTCTCCAACCCCTGGTTACATTCAGATACAAACTGTGGCATTATACAGGAAAGCTGTTAGATGAAAGGAGTGTTGATGAACTTTGGGAGGTAATAGATCTTTCGCTGTTATTGAGCACTAAGATTTACCTACCTAATCATGACACTTAGCCCTCCTAACTTTTTGGACCCTTCCTTCAATTTTTTTTTGCAGGTCAAGTGGCAGCCTGTTGTACATGGAGTGTTTAAGGAGCCAAGGATTGACTACAGCGCTGCTGCATCTGCCACAACACAAGAGCAACAGAAAAGTCAGTGCCACTACTGTATTTATAACAGTCTCTTATAGTTTGAAGTGAATTCAAAACAGATTTATATAGTGTTGCTTTCCCAGTGAAAAACAAAAAAAACCTAGATTATTTGAAACTGTTTTGCTTCACTGACATATTTACCAGGATTTTATTTTTTCTTGATTTTTAAAAACCTGAATTGGCCAGGGTAATTGAACTTCACTCCTCTCCCTGTATATTATCATCTTACATTTTATAATCTTCAAGATAGAATTGACAGTCATGCCACATCAAGTGTTAAGTAATTAGATTACATCCAAGCATTTATCTCTTCAGCTAAAGATGTTTATCGCCCTCCTGGTCTCAGAGGATCGGCTCCTTCAGTCAAACTGGTGAGACAATTTTTTCTAGTCTGAATATCTGGAAGAGATTTCCCCTGTTCTGATCATTCTATCATCAACTCTTTGCAGCCTTACGATGTTATTCATTTTCTCTACACTGCTCTCTTTACATTTCCTATGGCACCGAAAAGGAGAATTTGTTTAACAATCAGGAGCTTCTTAAATTGGTGATAATTTCCTTAATTCTCATGACCTTTACATTTGATTCCAGGGTGATATTGTAAGGAGAAATTAAAAGCTGGTCACTTTTAGGAGTTAAAAAGTTGAGAATAGTTATGGAGACATGGTGACTTTATGGTCAGTTGGGTGGACAATGCGTGAAAAAGTTCAGGTTTAGGACCTGGATGAGGGGTTGTGTTTTGTTCTTGAGTAAGACACTAAAACCTTCTCAGTGCCTCTCTCACTGTACCAAGGAGGATAGATGGGTACTGGCAAACTTTCAGGGAAACCTGAAGAAATGAAGGGGGTGTGGAGGGGAAGTAACCTGTAATGAATAGGCT